TCTTAAGATCTTGCAAAGAGAAAAATGCAAGTTACCTACTAGACAGTAAAGGATCAACCCTGACTAAAAGGTCTGGCCCTTCCGCAGCTACTAGGAGATAACTTCTAAGCCCTTGGAATATTCTGTTTGATAACAGTGTCTTTGTTTACATGGGAGCCTTGTGCCACACCTCATAGTCAATGCTAACAGTGTGACTTATTGTGAGAGTCTCTGGCCACATGGTTAGCACCTTAATTTCTGTAGGGGCTATAGACTAAGGTCAGCCATGCTTACATGATTAATCTCTAATAAAAATTTTAGTCACTAAGGCTTGGATGAGCAACCCAAGATGGCAATACTCCATGTAAGTTGCCACAATCATTGCTGTGAGAAATAAACACCTAAGGCATTTGACTGATAATCGGAAGCCTGGTGGTTCAAGCCCACCAGCCACTTCTCAGAAGGAAGACTGGGCAATCCACCCCCATAGAGATACCACCTCAGAAACCCAAGAAGGGGTCGCTATGAGTCAGAACCGACTAGATGGCAGTGAGTTTGGTTTTTTTTTTTCGGTACACCACTCAACCAGAAGACATCAACTGAAAGCTTGTGCTTGGACCCTGCCCTGTGTATCCCTTCCACTGCTGATTTTAATCGACATCCTTTCACTATCATAAATGATAAATGTGAGCTTTTCTGAGTTCTTCTGGCAAATCACTCAAACTGAGGGTTGTCTTGGGGACCTCAAAACCTCACCTACATAGGACTTAAAGTCAGAATTACATTGACGTTCAGTAGCTGAATTACCTGCTAGAAAATAAATGAACTATGCTTTCAAAATTCCAAGGAAAAAATATTTTTTATCTAAAGACTGAATGATATCAAATTGCCAATATTCAATCATATTTTCCACCTCTCTCCTGGGTTCAATAATTTGCTGCAGTAGCCACACAGAACTCACGGATTTGGGGGTTTATTAGGGAAGCACCAAGCTACAACTCAAGTTCAGGAAGAATACTCAGTCTCTCTCCCAGCCCACCGTCCCTCAGCCAGCAATCTCTCACAGTGTTTTTCTCAGCAGTGCTGGTCCTTCGGTGTCTCACTCAGCGATGCGTGTCTCTTGCATCTCTTTCCCAGCAGCACGAGTCTCTTTCAGGGGCGCGTGTCTCTTTGGGCAGCACGTTTTCCTCAACCAGCGGTTAGAGAGAGAGTTCTGCCTCCAGGAGGCCTCCTTTTGAGCCCGGAAGAGTGGTTAAACTAGCCAATCATAGCATCAGAACTCTAAGCACATGAGAGAGAGTGTGAACCTCCCAGAACATTGTATTGTGCTACGCCCAACAAAAATAACCCAGGTGGGCAACTTTAAAATTAGGATCTCCTCAGTTGCTAATAGCAATTCCCACCTTGGAGTTTACCAAAACTTATGGGTAGAAAAGCCACACTAAGTAATTTACTACACCGCACTTGGGGACCTCAAAACCTCACCTACATAGGACTTAAAGTCAGAATTACATTGACGTTCAGTAGCTGAATTACCTGCTAGAAAATAAATGAACTATGCTTTCAAAATTCCAAGGAAAAAATATTTTTTATCTAAGGACTGAATGATATCAAATTGCCAATATTCAATCATCTTTGACCTGCAAATACTGGCAACTTCAAACAAACATCTATACCTACTAAAACAATCCATCAAGTATGAGAATATTGTCAGACATGCAAGTACTCAGAAAATTTCTCTCCTACCTACTCTTTCTTAGGAGGTTTCTTATGGCTGTGATCTCATAAAACGTGGAAGTAAGCAAGATACAGTGATGCTACCAGGAGACCAGTAAAGGGATGTACAAAAGTGGAATCTGCACAAGTCTACAAAAGAACCAATGCAGATTAGAGCAGAACAGAGATTTGCAAGGGAAAAGGGTAACTGATATGATGGAACTTTTTAAAAAGATGGAAGATTTTTATTATAAGGAAAACATTTTCAGGAAAAAAAATATAGAACTGTTAAAAAACAAATATATATATATATACATATATACATATACTCACACACACACACATACACATACATACACACACACATATCCTGGTTCTGCCAGCACTATTAAAATAGTGATGATAATCTAAACAGAGTTGATTGATTTAACAAACATGATAGTGTAACTATATTCAAAAGAACAAGAAATGGTTGTTTCAGAAAAGGGACTTGAGAAAGGGGGAAGAGAGTAAGAGAGCATGATTGGTTTACTATTTCCTTTTAAAGTTTGCATGTATTGCTTTGATCAAAATAAAGTTTGCTTTTTTTTAATTTTCATCCTCTCTAGTAAAAGAAATCCAAACAATATAAATGTTACCCATTAAAATGGTAAATACATATTAAAGTGAGAATATCCAGTGTTGGCAAAGTGCCAGAAATCAGACACTTGCACAAGGAGGGTAGAAATATAAACTGAAAAAGACTTTCAGACAACTGGGTACTCCATATCAAATGCTTTAGAATTTAGATCAATTTATCCTGAGAAAATAAGTGTACCCAAAAGTATGGTTACTGTGATGATCAAAGTTCTGTTGTTTACAATAAGGAACATTTGGAAATTATCTAAATGTCCAATAATAGAGAAATAGTTAAACTAATTATAGTATAGTCATATATTGAAATTGTGTGCAGTTCATATATAAAAGCTAACTTTTTGTAACATCTAAGGAGTTAGATGAGATTAAAATGTGGAACCAGTGATCAAAGGATATTCTGAACCCTCCCTCTCAGGGGATCTTTCTTGTTTAGGAGATGGCCATCTTTCAGCATCCTGAGA